TATATTCACATCATTTTGAATAAATGTGATTTTTGAAGAGTTTTTAAACTTTTTTTGTTGTTTTTGTTGTATATTCATACTAAAAGAGAGTAGAGATAGAGTAGGATCTAGTCACTATCATTAGATAGTAGATTATAACTATTTTGAAAAGTAGAGATCTCAACTGCTTGTATTATATCTAGTTTATCATCAGAGTCATTTCTCAATTCTCTAATCTTAACAGGAGTTTAAGGATTCAAATTCTGTTTACATTTAGCTGAAGAATTGAAGTTTGAAGATTTAGATAGTTGAGAGTTTCTTCTTTTTAAGCTTGTAGTTGTAAGTCTACTGGCTTGACTCCTCTCTTCAGTTCTAGATTGACTTTGAGCTTCATCTTTTCTTCAGTTCTTTTAAGTTCTAGGAGTAAATATACATTCTTTTGAGCTAGATGCATGTTTTTCTTTGCAATTAGAGCACTTAAGCAGAGTATATTGACATATTTCATCTCTTTTTAAGCATGTTTCACATTTATGCTCACTAGTTTTATGATCTCTGGCACAGAATGCACATTTTGAGTCTCTAAAACATGAGATTACAAAGTATTCATATCTTTGACAGTTTGAACACTATGTTTGAGCTTTGAGATTCATTCTTGAGTCTTTGTATTCAAGAACTCTCATTTTCAAATCTGCTACTCTTACTTCAGAGATCTTTGACTGTTCAAGTGTTTTTATATACACTAGAACAGAGACATTTTCCCTGCTTTATCTGAACTCAATTGAATTTAGTCATACAGGCTTCTTTCTCAGTTGAATAGAGTTGTATTCTTTCAATTCATTTTTGAGAAGTAGCATTTCTTCTTCACAGTCAAAAATTTCAACTGAAATATCATGAAGAATGAATTTGTCTCACTTTTCATCTCTCTCAGATAGAATTATTGTATTTAATAAAGATTCTACTACTGACTTTCAGAGATGCTCATTCTGAATAAGAAATTCAGCACTGAATTCAGACATTGTAGTCAGAATGATGAAGTTTTCAAAGAATGATGACTCAATTAAAGCTATAACTGATTTTTGAACTTCAATATCAGTTATCAACTGAGAAAAGAACTGCTGATTAATTTCATTTCTGATTCTGAAAATAAGATTTGAGTTTAGCTTGTTTCTTTGCAGAATATCCTGATTTGAGACTTTGAGTATAAGTCTTCTATTTCTGAAGATTTGAAAGTTTTTCTCTTTTTGCATTTTCTTTTTTACTTTTCTATGAATAGAGATATGAGCAGTATTCTTCTCAGTTTTCTCAGGATTTTGAGCAGGTTTTGAGACAGCAGGTTTAGAGATAGCAGATTCAGCTGCTTGAGCATATGTTTTCTTCTGATTCAAAGAAGAAGAAGAAGTAGAAAAAAAAGAAGAAGAGTAAGATAAAGAGTCAGTGATTGTACAAGAAATTTTCAATGTTTTTTGAACTGTGTTTGAGATTTCAAGTTTGAACTTGATCATCTCCTGTAGTTGTCTAGTCTGAGTATGAAGAATTAACAGAACTTCTTCATTCATCTCACTCAGACACTGCTTTTCAAGAATCTTACTTACTTTTTCAAGTTTCTGTATTTCAAGAACTTGTTATTTCTCTATTTCTTCTTTCTTTCTTCTCTTCAGAATTTCAATCTCAGGAATAGTATTTGAGAAAGCATCTTTTTCCACATCAACTGAGTGTATTTTTGAACTCATTATTCTCACTTAATGAAAAGTTGGTCAGACTGTTTCAATTAAGATATTTCTAAGTCTGTTTTCAATTGAAAAGTTGGTCAGACTGTTTCAAAAGCAGAATAAAAGACTTTTGTGTATAAAACACCTGATTTTTTTCACACTAGTTCAGTAACTAGGTTAGATTTTTGAAGAGAATCTAATAAACTAAAATTGATTTTTGAGATAAATCAATAAAATCTTTACAATCTCTTTCTTGAAATACAGTGAGAAAGAGTATGATATCAATTAATAATGAATCAGATGATATGACAGTTTTTGAGAGAAAAACTGACAAAAAATAAATCAATTTTTTGCAGAGAAATTGATTAAAACTATTCAATTTTATTCTAAATCATTCAATTCTTGTCACACAACAAGTATGCAACTCAAATCAGTTAATAAAGAGTGTAAAAAAGAATTAAGTATTAATAAAAGCTCTTCAGCCACTGAAAAAGTAATTCTTACTTAAAAGAATATGAAATTATGATAGAAAACAGCTCTGTTTTTTATTCTTTGTAAGAATATTGTATAAAACCTGGAGAAAAACACCTTACTTTTTCAAGAGAAGTAAAAAACTATTTTCAAGATCTTTTTTTTTGCATTAACTGCTGCAGAAGCATGAGATAGAAACTGCTAAGATTTGCACTACTGTATATCTTCTATCAAGACTTTCCCTCTTCAGAGTCTTGATATTATAGAGAATATAAGTCTGTTTCTATATAATAATATAAATATTGTCAGCGGGATGTAGAGAAACTGGTTATTTATATCTCAAAATAGAAGACTTTGTCAATGATTATATCAATATAGACTTAATTCTCAAATTCAATAGAAATCTAGTGTTGCTGTTCTCAATCCCTTGCAGAATCTATTGAATATTGAGATATTAAAGCTAGATTTAATATATCTCACTGTGCAGGGATCAAAGGCTCAGTCAGATCTTGAAGTATACTGATTTTATAGTTGTTGATATGCTGTTGACTCATTGTCTGCTGATTATGTATTGAAGGCTGTTGTTAAGGTATCTTTTTGTATTGTTCTGCTGGGGATGAGCCAGATTAGACTGACCGTGTGACCGTGTCTGAGACCAGGACCAAACTTTACAGCTGTCACATTGCCTAAAAGCATTACTTCTGGTCATGATTTATATTCATCACATTGATTTCAAATCATGTTATTTCAAATATTAAAGATTTCAGATTCACTTTTCAAATAAAAATCTAGTTCTGAATAAAGAATATGTTTGAATTCTTAGTCACATTTTCATTCTGATTTCATTATTGAGAATGGCATCAAATGAGATCATGAAATCACTTCTCACTTACCTAATATCATAACATAGTACTCATTTGTTAAAAATTCAATAGAGAGTGTTATCAAATATCATTACTTTTCTGAATACAGATTATAATTCATATAATTTTAATTATGAAAAAAATATAAAATATCAAAAAAAAAAACAAAAAATAAAAAACAAAACAAACACAAGAAAAAATCACAATAAAAAAAAAAGAAAAGAAAAAGAAAAAAATAAAAAATAAAAATAAAAAAAATCAAGATCACAGAGCTACAGTACTCTTAAAATACTCACTTTTCAGAGTCTTTGTAATATTCATCATCAACTGTGTATTTCTCACAGTGAGAATAACACAGCTGCAATGAGTTATTGTCTTAATATCATCTAATAAATAATCAGTATATATCTGTATAAATGTGAATAATTAGAAAATATACACTTAAAAAGTGTGATCAGGGTGAACTCTGCTGTCACTTGAATAACATCAAGAACAGAATACTGAAATTGATGATTTCTTTCATCAATTTCACAGACAAGGCATGTGAAGATAATCTTGAGAAATATAAGATTTCTCAACTTCTGATAAAAACAGATCTCACAGAGAGACTCTATTTTCATAATATCAGAGACTGAGTATTATCAAAAAGCATTACTTTCATGCAATGCACATGTACTTACTGTGATGATTCATTCTCTGTATATATGACTGAGTGTTGCAGCTTTCTCACGCTGCATAGCTCTCACTGAGATGCTGCTGTCAGTTTGCAATTCACACAGTCTCTCAGTTCAGCACACACTGTGTATATACAGCTCTGTGTGCTGAGGCTGTGTTGATCATTATGATCTGATGTGATACTCACTTTTCATGAGCCATGTTTCATTTGAGAAAGGAAAGGAAGACATGACTGTTATTTTATTGAGAGAGAAATGAATAATTAGTATTATTGAATTAATTTGATTCATCTGTATTTAAAATTTGATTAGTCTATACTCTTCAATTTGAGGGTTTCTATGAGTGTTTTAATAGTTTTCATACCAGCTTGAACTTAGTGATGAGTTGAAGAAGAAGAGAAAAGAGAGAAGAAAGAAATAAGAATAACTTATCTTTATAATATAAAAACAAAGAATCACTGTAATCATTCTTTCTAGCAATAAAGATCTGTTTTCTGCATGTATCTCTGATATAGATTATATGATAAATGTATACAAAGAATATCAATAGTGCATGTATTGAATGAAGATAATATTGCTATATAACACTGTAGCTGTTTCTGTACATCTCTGAAAGCTGTTAATAGTTTCTTTGTCTCTTTATATTTGATAAGTTAATAATATATTCTGATGCACTTTCTCTTTCATTATCATCATTATCATTATCATCATTATCACTATTATTATTATCATCATCATCATCATCATTATTATCATCATCATATTATTGCCTGCCTTCACTCTCTTCTTAATACTCATCAAAATCAATTATGTCATCTCTCTTCAAATATTCTGCGGTCCTGCGGACCATCAAGGTGCGTGAGTGCTGTCACAGATTGAAGAAAGAGAAGAAGAAGATGTTCAAGCATAAGAAGACAGATCACAAGGCATGTTATAATACCTTGAAGAGGCTTTATAAAAGAGCAGAATAATAACAATTTTAAGTAACACTTCTGATAGATTTAGACTGAACTAAGTATAGAAATAATGTGAATAGCGCTGTCTGTGAGAGATTGAAAAAGAAGATAGTGAAGAGTCTCATGCAGCAGCAGTGAGATCAGAAGAAGTTCTGAGAATGATTTAAGATCAAGATAAAGAGACAGAGAGAGAAGAAGAGTATTACTGTAAATAAGCAGTAGTAGAAGAAGATTAAGAAGATATTAAAGTAAGAGACAAAGAAGTTAAAATTGATAAGTTTTTTATTAAGAGATAATGATTTTTGATAATACTTCTATTCTCTAATTGATTAGCAGGAGCTGATAGAGATGAAGGGAATTGAGACCTTATTCAGGTCTCAAATGCGCTTCATGATTCAGAACATTGAGAAGGCAGCTCTGCTCTCTGAGCATGTCAATCTGCTTATCACTGAGATGGAACCTAAGACAGCAGATCAGAAAATGCAGGATTTTGAGATGCAGATTAACCTGACTGAGAGAAAGCAGTAGAAACCCTTCTCTGAGAAGATAGTGAAGAGAGATTTTAAAATGATTATTATCTCAGATAAGAAGAAGAAGAAGAAGAAGAAGAATAAGAAATGAATTATAAAGAATAATAAGAAGAATAAGAAAGAGAAGAAAGATGATAAGTAGAAAAAGTTTTTTTCTTTTTATATTAGTTAGTTATAAGTTCATAATTATTAATAATTAAAATTAATTTTGAGTTTTTAAAAATTATTGTACAAGTTGTAATCAAGTTAGGAACAATATATAAATATATATATATATTTAACTATCATGATTCACAAATCACTATAATGTATAAGTATCAACATTTTTTCAACATTGATATTCACAATATTAATATAATTTTAATAATATCATCTGATAATATAATTTAGTAACACTCTCTTTCACAATATTAATATATTTCAAGAAATATGACAGAGATTAATCAAGATTATTTATTTACTTTTATACATTGATAATATTCAATCTGAGTTAGTACTAAAATTATAACTAAGCTAAGAAACAAGATTATTTTCTCTTATATTAATTCTTCTTACACACATCAGTGATCAGTTATTGAAAATAAATTATTATCTTTCTTAAATTATTATCATGTCTTCTGAAATCACTTCTTTCACTTCTTTTACTTCTATTAAAGATTCATAAACTCTTCAAGAAATCACTGTGAATTATAAAGTCTATATTATTTACAATTCAACACAGAATGCTCTCTTTCAATTATAATAAATAATCACTTCATTCTTCACATCTGATTCCAGGTCATGAAATTTATGAAAAACTCAATATAAATATCAAGATGAACTATGAAATAATTATCAACAGATTGCATTGTAGATTACTGAAGAGTTATCTCTCTACTATAATCACTGCAACTTCATTCAGAAATATTCATTATGAACTGATCATGATTCTGAAGAAGTTTTCTGACATCTGAAGTCATCAGAATGCAGATAATAAAAGAAAAATAATCAGAAAATTACTACTGAGCTGATAAGTTACTCTATTAGATAATGATTTTTGATAATACTAACTTTCTAATTTAAAGAAAATTATGTGAAAATGACTCTGTATTAGTACTCTGATTTCATAACTCTTATCTGATAACTTCTGTGAATAATTACTTCACATGTGTATATCTCTGAATCTTTCTCTTTGATCAATTGAAAACTCTGAATTCTGAACACTTCTTCAAATACTTAATTTAAATCTTCATATTTCACATTGATTCTATCTTCAGTTCAATCTCAAGATACACTACAAAGTTAATATACAATATCTAGAATCAGAGTTGAAGAATCATTGAAGAGTGTCTCTCACAGTGAATGCATGAACTAGTACAAACAATTTTATATTTATAAGAGTTACATGTTATTACATTGATAAGAACTGAACTTATTAAGAGACATTAATTGAATTTGAATCATTGATCAGTAGTCATACTGAGAATTATATAACAGAGATATTAATGACTGTGATTAAAAATAACTATTGAGATATTAGTCTCAGTCTTCTTATAATTACAACTGACAATGCTGTGAATAACTATACTATGATGAAGAGCTTGAAGTAAAAATTGACTTTGCATTTCTGAAATAGTAAATAAGGTCATATTCTCTGTATTGCTTATGTGATTCAACTTGTGATATAAACACTGATAAAGAATCTTAACATTGAGATAAAGAATAATGAGATAACTGATTCTTGAAATGAGAATAAGATAAAAGTGATTACTCAAGTAACTTTTATATTCACTTTATAAAAGATAATGTTTTTTGATAATACTTTTTAATATTGCTTTTTGATAATACTTTTTAATAATAATACTGTTAATTTTGAATAGATTGACTAATAATTTAAATATCATAGATTTGAAACATTGCTAATGTGATTTGTATCTCTTCTAAATAATAACAATGATTTCATAATATTTAATAAATAAATAAATCAGTCACATCACTGAATATAATACAGAATGTTAGAACACAGTGAAGTTTAATATATAAGATAACTGTTCAGACTCTTTGATTGTGTCAGATAATTAATCATTGAGTGTAACACTCTGATCAGAAAAAGATTCAGATATTGAAACTTTCTGATATGAAGTGAACTCAGTTGAAATATATGATTGATTTACTGTTTCAGTTTTATAAGATAATAAAGACAGTTTCAATCACTTATACACCAATGCTGCAGTCAGTCTGATGAGTGTATAACACTTTATTTACTTATCTTAAGAAGCAGTTAAATTACTTAAAAAGAAATTCAGTCTGAAATAATGCTATAGCACAGACTATTATTGTTATAAGAAATAAACTGACATATTACTACAGTAAAATGAAACAATCTTTTACAGAGTATTATACTGTAGCAGCTCTACTAGATCTCTCTTATTAAGTTAATATCTACACTTCTCAAGATTGAACAGAGAGAAATGAGAGACTCATATATTAAATTAGTCTGAGACTACTATAATATCAACTATCAGAGATTTGAACAAGCAGATGTTTAAGATGTGAAGACAGTGAAATACAATTCTCTAGTAAGTAATGATCTTTGATAATACTTTATATCACATAGAACTATAATACTAACTTTGAAACAGAACTTATATACATTAATTGTAACTGAAAATCAGGCAAAACTACATACTTATAAAACTGAATTTAACTGCTATTTTCAAGATAATCTGATAAATTTACACATCAAATCAATTCTAGAGTTATAAAAAATTATTGAGAGTACATATTCAACTGTTGTACTGATGATATATAATATTTTAATAATTTCATTGACAGAGATGAGAATGAAGTGAAAGTTCAACTCAAGTTAAGATATTTATCACTATCACTGAGAACAATTATAAGAAGAAATAATCAAGAAACTCATGATTATAAAACATAAAATTATCAGATAGTTTAATACCTCTGATCACAGTATATCAGAGAAGTGTAGTTTTCATAAAAAAGTGAAGAATAAACTTGTATAAGAATGTATTTAGTTATTTCATAAGTATTATCAATAATTGTTATTAAATTCTGATTATATAAGCAATCACTGAATAAATCAAATAAGACTGATTTTAATCTTCAGTCTCAGTCTTATTCTGATTTTGAAAGAATAATCATCTTTCACAGTTTATTCTGAAAAATTACTCTCATTTCACTGTTCTTGAATTAAATCTGGTCATTTTTCACATCATTTCTCTCAGAAATGATCCATTTTCAGATTTTTTTGAGGCTTGGTCCTGGTGGGACTCACATCAAGAAATGTATGAGACCAGACCAAATGAGATCAAATGTGAAATTCATGGTCCCGCCAGCCAGTCTAGGCCAGATTGAGAGAGATAGTACAAGGGTGAGACTTGGTGTTGAAGTCTAGATACACTGATGACAGACTGTGAAGATTGCACTTCAGAAGAGTCTGTTGATTATGTGCTTGATATTATCACTGAGGTATCTTTTTGTATTTTTCTGCCGGGGATGGGCCAGATTGAGAAGGACGGTACAAGGGTGACACTTGGCGTTGGTGTTTTGGAACATCAAAGATGGACAGGGTTTTCGCGGAGGTCGCTCCTCGGATATCTCCACAACTACAGGTCGGGGATCTTTCAAAATCAAGAAGATTGGTGCATATGGCTAGGTCTCTTCACCTTACAATTTGTATGGCACTTTGGCCCGGGGTTGTGGTGTGGTAGGGGAGAACGGGGGATAATCCCACACAGGAGTTTCGAACAACGTCCGGTTCACATTTGGCTGGATAACTCCACCACCACACAGGGTATGCGGTCGGCGATGGGGTCAGAATGCTCGTATGATCGAGGGCTTTTCGATGGAACTATCGGCGGGTTCTTATTCGAAAAATCGAGCGAGTTCGTGGTGAAGCCTCAATCATGTAGTTCTTAAATATAAGTATAGATGTGATACTACAGTGACTCTGAGCAATGTTAAAATTACAATAATAATAAATAGCTGATATGCATGCAACTTAACAACTTCAATATAAAGAGATTTAACAATTAACTCATGTGATTTCAACATCTATAAAATCAAATACAAAAGTGTTAAAGAAATACTTAAATACTTTTACATATTTCAATACTTCTGATCTCACTCTCTACTTATCATGAAGAATGAAAATACTCATGATGTGATTTGAAAGAATGTATAACTGTCAGATAATAACGCGGCTGCTTCTGAACTTACTTATGAATGTAAAGAGGCCATAGCAGCCACTAATTAATTTAGTGTATAATATATAAGAAGGCAGTGTACATCTGTAATTGTACACTAACTTAAGCAATCTTTGAATCATATCTGATAGCATGTCTACAAACTGATGAGAAGCACAGACTTCTTCAGAGTGTGATAATTCTGTCTACAAAGCAATTTATAGTTATCATGCCAGCATGGTTCTAGAACATCTTAAAAGATAGTATATAAAGAGTGATAAGCAGAAGAGCATTCAATTGATACTGCTTTACTTATTGAGAAAAAACTTCATACTCATATGAATGTTACATATACAAATAAATGAGATGTGAGAAAAGAGATAAGAGTGATGAATCAGATTCAAAAAAGTTCACTTTCTATCTAAAAGAAGATTAAAAAGAAGAGATAATTATCACTGAAGTTATACAATGATAACAGAAATCATATAATAATATAGTAATATAATGATATAGTGATATAATAATACAGCAATATAATAATAGACATTATATAATTAATAAGAAATCACTGAAATAAATATCTCTTCTAGTCAATATAAATAACACTCTTCTCTACTATCTGAACTGAAAGATATGTAGAATCTCTCAGAGAGTTTACTCAAAACAGTAAGAAAAGTAGCTGAAACTGCTGAACTGAAATCAAACCTCTGTACATGTACAAGAATTCTAAACAAGATCAAGGCCTTGTGTATACAGTGACAAGCTGAGACAGAAGTCAAACAATAATTGACATTCACTATAGATTAAGTAT